TTGCTTAATTTCTAATTCTTAAAATAATTATTTAATTTTATGTTTTACATTTCAACTAACGGTAGGTAAGATGTAACGTAATGTTTAACGCATTGCGTTATTAAGAATTGCTTCCAACCAGTAAATTTTAAAATTTTAACTAAATGTATATCAAAAGATAATATATATATATATATATATATATATAGTATTAAATTGACTTGAACTAATTTATCTAAATTTGATTAAGGTCTCAAAATATATTTATTATCTTGGGTTTTGTAAAAAAAAATAACAATTTAAGCTAGGTTCATCTGATTTAAATGATTTTTTTTATAATTAATAACTGAAATATTTGATAAAAATAAATGACCTCAACTTTTAATTCTCTCTTATTGATGGATATCTCATAATTTGGAGGTCCCCTACAGAAGTTGCTTTCAATCTGGCGTTGGGGACAACATACTATCTTATCTCCCCTTACCCCATTACATATGGGAATAAAAGTCAGCTAATTTTTTTTTTTTTATGGAAAAAGGCTAATTCTAGAAGAAGTGCAAAAATAAAACTCCATAATGAAGTCAATTATGCTCATTAATCTCTCTTTTTTATTTATTCAACCTACACTATAAGACACGTTTATTTAATTTTGTATCACATGGATGGTGATCTTCCATCTTTGGCTTTTCTTGGGATTTTGCACCTCACCGCCTGCCACATGTATAATATTTTTTTAAAATAGATTACAATATGTATATTATCATATCAGCGTTACATATATAATAATATTTATATGATACTTTTTATCATAAAAGTTTAAGTATGAATACTTTAAATGTCGGGTAAATTATTTATTTAATCTTCAAATATTCGTATGATTTTATTTTGATTATTTAATTATTATTATTTTTAAAAAATCAACATCATCTCAATTGTTTTATTTAAAAAATGAAGAAAATTTAAGAAGAATATATATCCCTTTCTCAATCTTCGAAGGATTTTATATTAGTGTCAGTGTTAAGCATAGTCATATGACTACTTATAGGTTAAAAAATTGAATGAATATAATTGTTTGATGATATATTTAACTCTAACAGATTACGTAAACTTATTGATAATCATGTCAAAGATTATGTCAAGAGTAGATGATAAGTTGAAGGTTTGAAACCTTGTAGTTTATAGTAAATAGAGGAGAACCCTTCGACGACCTCTTCATGCTTGGAAGTTGATCTTCAGAGTTGTTTAAAACATTTATATCCCCTTGATTTATTTTTATTTATATTAGATTTTTCATCTTATTTTTTAAATTATTTCATATTAAAATTCTGAATTCTTAACTTTTTAAATTATTACACCATAGTATTTTAAATTATTTTTAAAATTATTTCTTTTAACACGAATATATTTTTAAAAAGTTCTAAAATTCAAAATAGTCATTAAAATATTTTATAATCACCGAAAGTTGAAAAAAAAATCAATACCGATTTTAGGGATGTTACATTCCTATTACCACTTTAAGAGCTTCTTTGGCCATTACTTGACTGCTCCTCATTACCTCCCCTACAACTACCCTTGCCTCGAGGCTTGGAAGACTTGATCCTGGTTGCTCGAGCAATGGCTCAGTAGCAGCTATGGCTTTTGACAGACTCTACACTTCTCTTTACCATAACTTCAGCTTGTCACATTGTCTTGGTCCATTTAAGAAGGTGAAGAATGCATCACCCTCGCTTATGTATGGAACTTGGAGCATCAACTCATTGAAATCATGTGCATACTCTTAAACGATACCTTTATGCTTGATATGTTTGAACTTAGATCTTGCCTTATCTTTAGCATTCTCAGTAAAATTACTCCTTGAATTCAGCTCGGAACTCTCCTAGGTTCCAATGCAAGTTCTACCATGTTGGTCTTTGGTGCACCTACAATGCCACCATAATAAAATTACATCGATTAAATAAACTAAAATAGTATTTACCTTATAAACATCATCTTCGATGCTCACGACTTAAAAGTATTTTTCTATGTTACGTAATAAATATCCACATCTTAAATCAATCTAGTCTCCTTGAACTCTTTCGACCTCAAGACGTTAGTCTTGTTTTTAGGTGCCCCAACTAGCATCCCACTAGTTATCGCGACTTTGCAAATACACAGATCCCCCTTGAGCTCATTTATCTATTTCCTCAAAGCCACCACCACGACTTTGAAAACATCACTCCTTTGGTTTGTGGTGTCGATCTTCTGGATGATGAGGCCGTGTATCTCTCCCTTGAGCTTATTTCCTATAAAGTCCAGTACATTTCTCCATCACCTCAAGGGTCTCCTTCTCATCCCCATGGATTCCTTGATTCAAACCATTCTTACTTCCAATGATGCACTATGTCCCCCGAACTTGCTCTCTTTTATTTCTTGGCATGGGTGTCCATCCCCTATTGTGTGAAAATATATTCTTTTTGGTGTGACATGTCGGTCAATGTCTTAGTCACAAGTTAGCTCAAATACCACTTGTCATAGGGTTAGAGTCTCACCTAACGATATGTGCATCTTATAGTATGAAGCTCAAGTCACTCTCCTAAGCCAGCCCCCAAAACAACTCATGAGAACCTAAAATTCTTCAAGGCACTGAAAGCACTAAAACTTGAATGGGTGGAAGAAAAATGTAAAGAGATATACAACAAGACAAAGCGGAAACAAGGGATCTTTAGAGTAAATGTTTTGTATGGCATACGATACAAATGAGGTAGAGAAGGCGTCTATTTATAGTTAAGTCATCATACAATGAACAATACAAATTGATTTATATCGAAGGTTTTTATTAAGGACATGCTGTTAAATTAAGAAATAAAAAGAAATTAAATAAATAAAGTGCAACAATTTAGTCGTTGGCTAGGCTCATGCGATTTGTATTGGTTTCCATTTCCTTACAAGAATTTGATGACTTGAAAGAATATGTTGGGCCCAAAAAGCGACACAATAACTCAATCTGATGGGCCGGAAATAATAATAATAATAATAATAATCTCATTTAAAACTCACTGTAGTTAGAGGTGAGTAAAGCTAAACTCAATTCTTTCTTCTTCTTCTTTTAATTTTGAGTTATTTGAGTTATACAATTTAATTTATGTTATCGATTCAATTTTCAAGTTCGAGTCAAGTTGAAGTTTGAAATTTTCAAATCAATCGAAAAATAAAAAATTTAGATCAAATATTTTCACAGATTTACAATTTGATCCCTAATTTTCTTATTCTTTTATTTTTTTCATTCATTTTAAATCCATTTACAGTTCTTTAATAGGTTTTATATTTATTTACAATTTTTCATATGTTTTTTTTAAATTTATAATAATTTAAATATACATTTTTATAAAATTTTAATATTTTATACTTTATTTTTTAGTTTTGTTTTTTTTATGTAAAAGAAGATAACAACTGATGTCAGGATTGAAAAGATAAAATAGCTAGCTGACGCCGAGTTAAGAAATCTGTTATTATTCCCGTTGGTTGGTTTAATTTGATAAAATAGTAGAAGTTTGAGGGTAAAAATGCTATTAATCCTTTTTATACAAAAGTTCTCTACTAGATCAAAGAAAAAGTTTGTGTTTTTATTTTTCAAATTTCAATATTTTTATCGAAATTTTGATTTAAATAACTCTTAATGTTTGTTATCAAATGCACTAAAAATTAAACAACAAAAATTTTCAATTCTCAATGAAATGAACCTTTTCAATAGTTGATCCAATAAGGTATAAATTAAATAATAATTAAAGTTATAATATAAATTAAAATAAAAGTGTAATTATGTCGTCGTCAACGTACTTCACTTTTGACACAGCCTAACATGGTGCGCAGCCCTCAACAAAAGTCTAATTAATTCATTTGTTCATCTTAGAATAAATACTTACAATGACTATGGATTCCTTTCCTTCTTTGTTCTTCAATCTCTTGCCTCAATAAAAAATAAAAATAACAGATGTCAAAATTTCTACAGTTTCCCCTAAGATCGTAAACGATGCAAGTTGAGTTTGAGAAATGCGGAGTTTGAGTCGACTTGAAAAGTTTAAAATTAAGCTCAATTTGACTCGAAAGCTCACTGGCTTAAAATTGTAAAGCTCGATTCGATTTCGAAATAAAAAGTTGAATCTCACTTGAACTCGAAACATTCTCAGGTTTAGCTCGATTGAAGTTAGAACTCGAGCTCGAGTTTGAACTTGAACCATAAGCACATGACCTTAAGGGACTGAGATGGAGATTGAGAGAACATGAACCATAAAAAACCAAACATCAAACTAGCAACTATCAGTAATATATGTCTCTATTCAAAACTAGACACTATGATTGTAGACATGGAGATTGAGAGAACCAATTTGAAAAATTATTCCACGAATTGTTTTGAATACATTGACAAACTGTCACAAAATGGGAGCTAACTATACGAGACCGTCAATCTTTCTTAATCAGGAGTTGCGCCATAATGAATGCAACACAAAACATCCAACTATCATAACGATAAATAAAACCGTGTCATAAAAACAAAAGAACAATTGTGTCATAAAAGCATATACAAAAAGAAAGTGATCAAAACGGGAAGGGATATATTTTCAAATATAAATCAAAAGAAAATTAAACGAAAAGAAAAATAAAATAAACAAAAGAGAAGTGACGGCCTAGGATAACACCTTGAAAAAAATAGAAAATCATTATAGAGTAGAGAAAAAAACCCTTAAAATTGTTTATGATTTTTTAAATATCTATTATTTTTCTTTAATTAATTTCATACTTATATTATTTTTGTTCCACTAATCCTCATATAGAGACATGTCATTTTCTCATCTTAAACACCTCCTCTTCCTATGTAGGTCCTAAACCTTTAACCCTTCCTCTAGATCTTATCTTTGCCTACCACTTGCAGTGCCAAGCTCCCAGGGTATAAAGAGGACTGCCCTGGCTGAGGCCGAGGCTAATCCAAGAAGGACAGAAGCTTATCATGTGTCCTGATATTTTACATATTGCTTAATTAGTTTATGGAAATAGCAAGCATGAGTAACGATAATATCACTAATGTTGACCTCGACGATGACGACAACAACAGCAGCAGCAGAGGGGACATGTATGAGCACGACCAAGACATGTTAATGCCTGGTTTTAGATTCCATCCGACCGAAGAAGAACTTTTGGAGTTCTACCTTCGCCGTAAGGTGGAGGGCAAGCGCTTCAATGTCGAACTTATTACTTTTCTTGATCTATATCGCTATGACCCTTGGGAGCTTCCTGGTATATTTCATATCTAGTAATTATTATCATGCTTCATACGTACATTTATATCGATCACATGATTCTTGTTTGGTTTTGGGGTCAGCCATGGCGGCTATTGGGGAGAAGGAATGGTTCTTCTACGTGCCTAGACACCGGAAGTACAGAAACGGGGATCGACCAAATCGTGTTACGACTTCAGGCTACTGGAAGGCAACGGGAGCTGACCGATTGATTCGAGGAGAGAATTGTGGATCCATTGGCCTCAAGAAAACCCTAGTCTTCTACACCGGTAAAGCTCCCAAAGGCATCCGAAGCAGTTGGATTATGAACGAGTATCGTTTGCCTCACAACGATACTCAACGTTATCACAAGGTACTCATCTTTCTTCACCTTTCATAGAAGGCTCTCCCGGTACAACTATGGTATCTTTTTCATTTAAATTTTTTTCAACTTATTAATAACGTACATACATCCTATAAACGTTACTGCTCGAATTTATAATCCCTAAAAAAATTGGTATTTTTTATCACTGAGTACACTTAATGAGTTCAAACTTCAACTTTCTTAATTTTACTTATATATTCATGGAAAGCTCTTTCGTTCCAACTCTGGTTTCATTTCGGTTTACATTTACATTTTAAGTCTAAATTCTAAACCCTAATTTTTCTTTTCAAAATCTCAAGCTTCAACTTCTTTAGTTCTCCATTTAGGGGTAAACAAATTTGAGTCGACTCGAAAAAAGTTTTAAAATTTTTAATTCGGCTCGTAATTTCATAAACTTAATTCGAAAAAAAATTAAATAAAATTTGAGTTATAAAATAAGACTCGAATAACTCAAACTTTTTAGTAATTAGTAGATTTATTTTCAAGTTTGAGTCGATTCTCTCAATTTTGCATCATATATGAATATCACATATTAAAAAAAATATGAATGAGTATATATGTATATCATATCTGATTATATAAATATATCTAAAATGAATCAATTAGTACCATAACATTATAAATATTTATAACAAATTTTAAACAGAAACTTAAAAAACTCGACTTAACTCGAATTTTCATACATTAAACTCGAAATCCTCAATGTCCTCGTCTACCGGTGTTATTAAAAAATTCAGGCTGAAATATCGCTTTGCCGAGTGCACAAGAGAGCCGGACTTGAAAATCAGTCGTCACTCCCCCGATGTCTTCAAACGAGAGGACAGCACTCAGAAAGGAAATATCCCCAGGCCCAAGATGCAGCTCAACAAGCCATGGAAAGTTTTCAAGGAGGACAATCACGCCAAATGGAGATCAGAAACATAAGCGAGTCTGATCGGAGCAGTAGTAGTACTTCTAATATTACACCAACTCTCGGACTTTCCAAGCTGAACGCCTACCGTCCAATGGCTCCCATAAGAACAACGATTAGGTTACCAATGGAAGAAGATGGGCTGGTCTCAAATCAGTCTAAGCAAGGCTGTACTTCTGTTTCATCAAATGTCGTCCACGATCTCCACAGGCTAGTAAGCTACCAAATGAATCAACTGCAATACTACAATGCTTCTCATCATCATCATCATCATCATCATCAACAACAACAATCCGACTTTCCTACGTTTCCCACACAATCACAGGCTCAGGCACAACAGCTTTCGCTCAACATGCTACCCAGCTCACTTCCATCAACGAATGCGACCTTCTCCGATCGGTTGTGGGAGTGGAGTCCAATTCCTGAACCAAATATGGAGTACAATAATCCTTTCAAGTAGGCTGTGTGCTGCATCTACATATCATACATATAGATATGTATTGTACGTCTCTATTCCTTGATTTCACTGGTTTTATTTCCACCATCTCATTAGCTAGAATTTTATCAGATATAACTCATCTCCTTCACGATTAGCACAACAGTATTAAGTATTTGATTCTCGATTAGGGTTTTAGATTTATTTATTTTTTATTCCCTTGATTATTTCTTGTTGGGTTTAGACTCAAATTTAAGGGAGTATTTACTGATATCATTTAGCGGTCATACGTAGTGTACATCTTTGAAGATAAAAGTAAGTTTCATTTACATCATGCAACATATATGGGTCAAGATGTATGTTAAAGAGATAAAATTATGCAACATATATGGGTCAAGATGTACATTAAAGAGATGAAATTATAAAATTTTAATGGATCATAAAAATAAATTATCAATAGAAAATATACAAATTATATGATAAATTGAAATTTTTGGGTATATTTATATGATAAATTAATTTTTTTAAGAGAGTAATTGTCCTCGTCAACCCCTCAATCTAGGAATAGACAGAAGGGGTGGTTAGGGACAGTCGTCTCCTTAAATTTTTTAAATTTTCATATATTTTAGATATTTCATTTGTATTTTCTATTAATAATATATTTTCGCCCTTAAAATTTTATAAGTTGACCCATCTAACATAAGATCCTATATTTATCCCTGCCTTAGTTCGTTCCTACATGTAATTGAATCATGTTAATGTACTATGAAAGTCAAAACTAGATCTCTTTTATCTTCAAAATAGCAGGGTCGGATAGACGGTAGACCAGAGATTTAAATAAAGGTCCGTTATTTGAATAGTGACCATTATATAGCGGTAAAGGAGTTGTTCGAAATCGTTATTTTAGAATCGCAATATTCGCAATGACCGTAGTAGCACCCGCTATTACCGCAATTGCGATAAACTAAACACATCTAAAAACATAATCACAACTGCAATTGAAATCACTAACGTAGACAAGAGAAGGATGATTGTATGAAGACATCCCAGAGCTGACAAAGAAAACATGTTCAATGAAGACAACAAAGGGAGTCTTATTGATGATGCTTTTGTTGCTAGTGCATTATATGTTGTACAATTTACATTGAAGCTAAGAAGCAAGTAAATGAATATTACGGCCACACCGATCATACATCTAATTCTGATTTTCATTTCGACAAATTTAACTAGTTGTTTGCAGTAACTGAGGTATAGGGCATACCTGTATTCTATTGTCCTCATTGCTGCAAATGCAAGGATGGACCGAAAAGGTAAGTGAGGCAGTTGCCCTTTAAAAATTTTAAATTTGTATATATTTTAGATATTTTCTTTATATTTTCAATTGATAATATATTTTAATCCTCTAAAATTTTATAAGTCTATTTTCTCTTAAAATTTTAGAAGTTCGTCCCCTCCAAAATAAAATCTTATGTTTGTTCCGCATGCTTCCAGTACCATAGCTACGTAGTGGCCTTTTGACATTTGAGTTTAGAGCTAAAAGTAGAGAGGTCCATGGGATGCAGGCATCCCTTTCCTCCTACGAGTCTATGACTTAATACTTCATTACTAGCCGATCTATGTAAATAAATGTATATTGACATTCCAGAAATTAAAGAAACGGCTATATTCTCTTACCTATCATCATACACGAATAACTCCAAAAAGAAATCATTCTCAATATTCTAAAGTATAAGTATATTCACCAATATGAACATCTTTATAAGCACACTATTAAGAAAAGAGATTGAGATTTGATATAGTTTCCTTGTAAAGTTGATTTTACAAATCTTAATCGTAGACGTAAATCAATCTATACAATTCATAGTAAGAAGATTCAACAATAAATAGATGTCTTCTTCACTTCATTTGTATCATCTATTCATAGTAAGAAGATTCAACAATAAATATTGGGGATAATTCGAATAATAAATTATAATATTTGCATTTGTAATTTATAACTCTCTCAAAAAATACATTGTATTGAATCGGACATTTAATTTTCCTATTATACATTCAATGACTATGTATAAATGCATATATTAGAAGCCATCAAGTAGTTTTAGTAGTTAAAGGGAGTGTTGTTCTCCTTTAAGATTTATTCAAATAATTACGTATGTATAGTGTGTTTGCATTGCCAATAATTAAAAAAAAAATTTAAATAATTAATACCTTATAATTGTCTCAATCTATTAAAAAATAAATGCATAGATAATCCTAGAGATTATTGTTTGGGTATAGGAAGCCTTAGGTAAAATAGTGGTTTTAGCCCCTCTAACATGCTGAAATTTGATCATTGTATTTTAATTTAATCTAGTTTAGTACTACTACTCATAACGTTATTAGTTAGTCTAAATATTAAACTATTGACGTGCATTTATTTCTTTTGGTAAACTTTAGTATCTCAACTATTACTTTTATTACGTTTTGATCATTTAACTATTATTTTTTAAAATTATATCTAACATTACATCTTGATTTTATTTCAATCACCACCCTTAAAAAAATTAACAAAACTACTAAAATGACACTTTTAAAAAAATCGATAATAACATGACATTACCTTATAATTACACATCAACGTCAAAATTAATTTTTTTAACGATAAGTGACCAAAATGAAATCCAAACTTAACATTAAGTATGATTTTAAAACAAAAAATAGTTAAATGACTAATACAGAACAAAAGTAATAATTGAGGTACTAAACATGTATTTTGCCCTTGATAAATTCAGCTTTCTAAGAATTGCATTCCTATTCAAGCTCAAATATCCCCTATTCACATGTTACAATTTATCATCACTAATATATAATAATCCGCAATTATCGATCGAGTTCGAATGAAAAAGCAAAAATTTTAATTAATTGCATTTTTTCTTGTTCTTGTCCATTAGACAAGTAGAACAAGAAAAGAAAATACCGAAGAAATAATGCCCGGACAAAAAAATCTGATATCATGATGATGATAGGTCAATGGGGTTGTGAGCTTCAATATCAACGTGCCGAATACCGGGAACGAGTTCTTGGATCTCCTTTTCGAGTCGATCCACTTCGCTTCCTAATGCTGTGACTACTTCCTCACCTGCAAAAGGAACTCTTTAGTTATACGCAATACAACTCAATTTATCACAATCAACTAGTTCATCTACTAGCATACCATAGTTTGACATGATCTTTAGCAATGCAGAATCATCTTTCTCCTTTGCAGATTCTCGGAACTGTGTACGACCACAATCTGGTTAGTCTACATGGACATTTCGCATAATAAAATACCAAAATTTAAGGCTTCAGGCTTCCTAGTTTAGTTCACTTCCCTGACATTTGTTTTTAAAACAAAACCGACTATCAAACCAGTTGGATTCTGGTTCTCGATATATAGAGAAAAGAGAGACCAAGATGCCAATTCTCGATAACAGACGAAGAAAGTACAAGCAAAAGTGGTTTGGTGTTGATATGATATTAAAACTTCAAACCATAGAACATAATAGTTATCAGCATATTGAACTAAAAGATAATTGTGAAGTTATGTTATAATTTAAGCCTGGTATGTTCGCAAGGAATGCTTGATTATTAGAGTATATTATATATAACTGTTTGTATCAAGGAAAATGTTCGTGGACACAGGAAAAAAGGCCAAATCATGGGCTATTATTAGTTACACAGAGATAACAGCAAAATATATTGAACATGCAAATGTGATGAAGACGAAAAAGAAATCGGAGACTGAAATATTAACCTGTCTTGCCCACTCTTCCCGTCCTGTTCTTTTAAGATAATTTTGCACCACCACCTCTCCATTGAAATCTATAGGACATTGTCACAGCAATACAAATAAATGTCAAAAGGTAGAGAAATGCCAATCATTTATTTTAGCAGGCCAGATCTAGCATAAATTCCGTGCTAGTAACCTAAACTCCCTTATTTATGATCATAAATCCGAAAGTATGGACTCAGTACAAATTTCTTCATAATTACAGCAAGAAAAACATCATATCAATGTACATAACACAATAGCATTATTGATCTGTTACTGACAGGAAGAGAACTAGTAAAACGTATCTCTTGCTTTCTAATTAAAATACTTGTACCAGATGAGATGAATAAAATTTGCAAAATGATATCAGAATAGAAACTATTATTTAGAAAACTAATCTTTGAAAATAACCAGCCAAAAGTAAAAGTCGATGTGAGAAAATCACCAATCTCTGCCTTGAATCTGAAGAACCCGGGACCAATCACCTCACTCTTGCAATCATATAAAGCATCTACAACCTGCAGAAATTTCATACCCCTCAAACTTTTCAAGAATGACTGTAAATGAAGTGGATTTCAAGTCAGACAATTCCAGTAGAGATATACCGGATCATTCTTCAAGAAATGGAGAACCTTCTGCATATCATTGTCGTCTATTGCTCTCCCGATCAAGGCATGCCGGTTGCGCTGGATGAGAAATACTGCAACCTACAAAATTGATATGCTCCAATAAGATATACCACATACCCAAAGATGCTTGAAATTATAAAACTATAGTAACATAGCCTTTAGACTTTTAACTCGTTCTAACTACATAATTCCCCCTCCCTCCATCTTTCTCCCACTCTTTAACTCGCATTCACATGTGTACACGTTCAATGTCTTCTCTTGCAGAAACAATCTATCCAAATGAACTAGCATAGTAGTCATAGCAGCAAAGATCAACTCAGTTTTTCCACTATCATAATGTCAAATTACATTCATTCATCCCCCACAAATATTATATGCTAACAATTAATTCTGAGGAAAAAAAGATATCTTGAAAAAGAAAAAGAAAGGACGAAACAAGGCAGAAAAATGGTCCAGTAGCAAACAGACATTATATATTACATTTTCATCCAAAAGAACCCACTAGAATTATGAAACTAAACCGTTAGGATTCAATTTCCAAATTTACCATGCTATAGCAGTGCATGGAATGACGAAACAACATGTGAAACAAAGTTGAGAACCTA